AGTGGACTCATCTCTGTGCTTGTCCTGCTAGACCTCAGTGCAGCGTTTGATACTGTTTACCATAATATCCCGTTAGAGCGATTAGAGCATGCTGTACAGGTGTCATATCTATCTAATCTTCACCACTGTTTTCTGTCTGTAGGTAGTACAGTCTGTTATATTCATATATTGGGAACTTTGTGCTGTCTTTGTGTCGCAGGAGGTCTTTTCCTTATTTGAAGATCACAGTTGCTCCATTGGAGGTAGCTGCTTTCACGGAGAAGATGTCTTGTGGGTATGAGGGGATGTACAATGACTGTTTCAAGGTTGTTTTGTGGCACTGTACCCTACTGTCCATCAAGCAAAACTCTCCCTCCCCTTTTTGCTCTGCAACTCCGGTGCACTTCGTGCTGTCAGCCAACTCTATGTAGTGTATCTAGGCCTGGAAGGTGTCATCAAATTTTCGGAACTTCGTTATATTTGTAATGCGAAGTTGCCCATGTCCACCATCAGTCCCTTTTTCTTGTGACCATGTTCTCACTGGAACTTTTTTGCTCTGTCTTCTTCTCCCTTTGCGCCGGTAGGCTGTATTAAATCCTGTTTTTTTTTATTCTTTTACTTGACAGAGAGAACACGACTCAGTTGGTCAAAGTATTTATAATTATTTTATTCAATTATCTTTCGAGAGAGATGTGTATGGCCCTAAGCTATTTGCAGATCTCTAGCATTAGAAGCCAAATGTGTTTAATACAATTAGTCATATGTCACACACAGTTTCGAACAAAAGAACTCCTTCTGGCCTGAGTTGATGTGTGTGTGTGGCTTAGTTCCGCTTTTTCTGTCTGCATGTTTCCTGTTTTTGCACAGTATTTCAGTCTTGCTCACCACTTATGACCTTTCACACACTTTGTAACTGAAAAGTGGCATCTTTAATACACTGACCTAGATAAAACAATATAAAAAGAAATTAAGCACTAAGAATATATATTTATTCTTTAACAGCTGCTTCAAAATAATGTCTCTCAGTGCTTGCAAATGAAGGTGGCCCAAAAATGTTGTGTCCCATAGTTCGTAATTCTTTTCGTCTCCATCAAAGACTAGCCGAGACCAATGGGTAATTGACTCAGCGGCTTGTTGGCTCATGGCACTAGCATGGTATGCTGATCCTCACCAAGCACACTGTACATCGCAACGTTTCTCTCGGTGGCAAAAAAAACATGAATTATTTTAAAAAAGAAGTTTTAGCTCCCTGGGCTTATAACCTGTTAGCAAAAATATGAAAATGTACAGGAAAAACCGGCGTACATGGTAAACTGCACCAGTGATACTTAGGGAGGAATGAACACACATCAGCATTTAATTTTGGATGAATGAACACCCCAACTTTATTAACAGCAGCTCACATGTAAATCACACATCAAACATAAATAAACCCTGTGGCTGTTTCCATAATTGAGAGCATGTTCTTTCTTCATGTCAACAAGGTCCACGTGTATGAGAACGGCTCTGACCAGCCTGAAGAACAGCACCAGGTTTACAGAGACCGAACAAAGATGAATGAAGACCTGCTGAAAACTGGAGACCTCAGTCTGACCCTGAAATACCCCACAGATGGAGACAACTCCACCTACACCTGCACCGTCTATAGCAGGGAGGGAGAAGTCTTGATGAAGAAACAACTTGAGCTGAAAGTCAGAGGTCAGTGTTGTAGCTACAGATCAAACTTTTCTCATTGTTTTCTTTGCTAGCATGACAAAGAAAAATGTCTCCATCCAACATCATGTTGTGCTTTGTTGTCCTCTCAGTCCACCAGGTGAAGGTCAATTCAGAGGTGGAGTCTGTCCAGCTGCCCTTCAAAACCAAACTTCACCTGCTTGAAGACGCTAAAGTGGAGTGGAAGTGCATCATTAATATGAAGGTCTGTTAGCAGAAATATGAAAATGGGCAAGGAAATCTGACATACATGGTAAACTGCACCAACTATACTTAGGGAGGATTAAACACACATCAGCCTTCGGCCACTTTGGATAAACGAGCACGCCTCCGAGAGAGCGCCAACTTTATTAACAGCCACACACATGTAAATCAAACATAAATAAACCCTCTAGCTGTTTCCATAATTGAGAGAATTTTCTTTCTTCATGTCAACATCCCTACTTGCTCTCATATTATAACTCTCCTAATTAACAAAAACATATAGGGTTTCTCACCCGGTTCTGTATACATGTCCGTATACCTGGTTAATGTCCAAACATAACCTTTTCAAACTTAAACAGCTTAACTTTTGTTGCAGGTTTTGTCATGTGTATATATATACGTGACCTCTTCCTTTGAACAATAATCCAGAGTTACTTTTCCTTCACTCACAGTTACAAAGTCATACTTTATGTCAACATCTCTGTCTCATTACAGGGTTCTTAGCCAACTCAATTGCACCCTGGTTATCTTCATAAACGTTTGGCAGTGCATATTGTTGTCCATCAATACCTTATAACAGTTGCATCAGGTACAAACACTCCTGTAGGGTTGCAGCTAAAACCATGTACTCAGCTTCGCAGGTAGATAATGCAACAGTATGTTGCCTTTTGGTTTTCCATGAAATCAAAGGACCATTTACAGCCAGACTTATACAATAACCAGTTGCACTACCCCTGTCTGTTACATCAGCTGCCCAATAAGCATCACTGTATGACCACAACCTCAGTTCTTCATTGTCATATTCTCTGTAACAGTTCTTTTTCGTATTTCCCTTTCAGATATCTCAGTACATGTTTTACTGTAGTCCATTGATCTTCAGTTGGCTCGGTAAAATACTGTGACTGTTTACTGACTATAAAACTCAAGTCTGGTCTTGTGCATGTAGCCAAATAGATCAGACTACCAGCTGCCTCTCTGTACCCTTTGAGATCTTTTATCTTTCCTGCACCATCAGTGTAGTTCAGATTTTGCTCACAAGGTGTCAGTCTTTCTTTACAATCATGCATGTTGAACCTCTCAACTATGTTTTCCACATATTGTTTCAATTATCACTCTGGTCAAAATCTATTCCAATGAAATGTCTCAGTTTACCCAAATCCTTCATTTTGAATTTTGCTCCAACCATTTCCTTCACAACAGTTAGTTCACTTTCTTCACTAGCAGCAATGATCAGGTCATCTACCCATATTATCAAAATCACCTTACGTACTGTCATCTTTGTGTAAACACAATGGTCAGCAGGATTTTGGACAAAGTAGTTCTCACCCAGATATTCATGCAACACCTTGTTCCAATTTCTGGCTTATTGTTTCAGCCCATGTAGCGACATATTCAACTTATACACCCATTTTTCATTTATGTCAGATTTCACGTCATAACCCTCAGGTTGTTCCATGAATACCTCATAATCTATTGGTGTGTGTAGATAGGCAGCTTTAACATCCATCTGATGTAAAAGCATGTTTTCTTGTGCTGCCTTTTTCATCAACACTCTGATACTAGTCAGGTTAGCAGTAGGGAAAATCGTTTCTTCATAATCCACGCCCATCTTCTGACTGTATCCTTTAGCAACATAACGTGCCTTGTACTTCTCAGATCCGTCAACACTGTTTTTGACTGCGTACACCCATCTACTGCCCACTGACTTATTGCCCTCGGGCAAAGTGGTTAAGGTAAATGTGTTTTTTTCTCTTAGTGATTACATCTCCTCATTCATTGCACTGACCCATTTCAGTGAGTTAGATTAAGTCATTGCTTCCTTGAATGTTTAGGGTATGTTACACATTGCTCTGTAACAATAATCCATATTTGTGAGCACTTGATCACAATCCTCCTCGTCCGTAGCATATTCACTTAAATACCCAGGCCTCTTTCTCACTCTGGAAAGCGTACCTTGCAGCCTCGCAATTAATTTCACAGTCCTGTGACTGGCTGGTCATCTCAGACATAGTTTCTGGGATCTGTGACTGAGTGTCTGTGTGTTCTGTACTCACATCAGTCTTTTCTCTGGTCTTCCTGGACCTGTTTTGCTTCCCAAAGTCACTCTCATCATCCAGATCACGTCATGTCAGTTTGTTTGTTTCTCTACTCTTGTTTTGGTCCCAAACTTCACCAGTCTAGGCTTCTGTAATTTTCCACTGTCTGGGTAGTAGACCATATAAGATGGACTGTTTTTTAATATCCAACAAAAATTCCTTTCTTACACCTTGAGTCTAGTTTTCTCTTGTTCTGCCTGTGGGCATAACGCAGTGACCCAAATTTCTTAATTTCGGAAAGGTTCGGCCTTCTTCTTGTCAGCATTAAAAATGGTGCATCTGCGTCTTTGTGCGTCTGTTGTTGTTGTTCTTACAGCTGCTGTTTGCACTGTGTAGGTCCACAACTCTTTAGGTAACTCTTAGCATACACCTGGCCATATCAAAAAGTGTGCGCCAATTTTGTTCAGCAGTACCATTTTAATGTGTTGAGTATGGTGCTGAGGTCTCATAAAATAATTATTGTGGGTGATTTTAACATCATGTAGATGCTAAAAATGACAGCCTCAACATGGCATTTAATCTGTTATTAGACTCAATTGGTTTCTCTCAAAATGTAAAAGAACCCACCCACCACTTTAATCACACTCTAGATCTTGTTTTAACATATGGCATAG